AATCAGAAATCTAGGATTAGCTGGTTCAGTGTTTCAGGAACTAGCTGGAGATAAAGTTAGATTGTAATCTTGAAAATAATCTTGAGAAACAGGGAGTTGCCCCCTTGTGATTATCATTGATATTTTTGGAATTTTCTATGATGCCCTCCCTACTCCTTTGGATTACCGGGCTGTGGTTTCTTCCCTTAAAAACCCCTTCTCCCAGCTACTCGGGGTCGAACTCTTCCCCTGCATGGGTTCTGAGTCTCGGCCCCAGTGCACTGGTTCTCGGCTCGTAGATTAAAACCTCATGTGATTGCACAAGGATGGTCTCTCGTGAGTTACTGGGGTGGGGGGTGTCGCATCATCCCGAGGCTTGAGTGAGAGTCTCCCCACATCGGGGGTCTTTCAATGTGAGCTAATTTATTTTGCTTACCTTCAGACCTTCGTAGTCAGGTTTTGCCTGCTATAACCATCCTTCTGAATCCTGAGAGGGTTAGTGGGGCTTAACCTCAGCATAAACCTTGATGTGAGATGAATGTTTTCCTCTCATAATGATCACTTTCTGCTTCATATTTTCAGCTTGTTCCACAAAATTATTATTTTATTACTCTTGTTTTCATGCCTCATTTCATTCAAGGGTAATGTTATTTATATTATTTTTTGTTCCATTTTCTACATGTCCATAATCCCATTATTAGCTTGAGTTAAATATCAAAGCAGCTTTGAGCTAAAAAACTTGTCTTTATTCCGGGTGGTGGCACAGGCCTTTAATCCAAGCATTCAAGACTGGGAGTGAACGAGCAGGGGAACAACCGAGCCCCTCTGAAGGGGATTGACAGCTAGGGCAGACTGAGGGGCCACTGATAGTGACACTGGGATGTGTCTCTACTGCATATACCGGCTTCATGGGGATCCTATTTCCTTTGGATGTAAACCTTGCTCGACCTAGGTGTAGTAGGGAGGGCCTTGGAGGCAATGCAAATAAAAAAATGGAGAAACATATAAGATAGTATCAGAAGAGAATTCCAGTGAGTACTGAAAATTCACCCATGTTTAATATCCGACTGCTTAAAATAACCCTGATCCCAAAAAGGTAGGAGTAAGATAAAAGACTGCATTAACATGATACAAGATAATGAATGTACCAATTGAAGGTTGTGGGCTACATTCAAGGTTAAGCATTCTGTTACTAGAACAAAGAAAGTCACATTTATAACCTAGACCAAAATAGTCTGTACTCAAACCGCTCTCTAGGTGGAATCCCAAGTTATCTCTATAAAGGGAACTGGAACTTAGTTGGGTCCTTAGACTCTTGTTTGAAGTAGGAACAATCTACTTCTCTATTCCTGAAGCACAAGGTCTGGCTATTAGCCACACTGTTGACAATAACCTTGAGAGAGCAGAACTCTCTGACCAACAGCTAGGTGGGACCTTTGTTTGAGGTAGAACAACCTTCAACAACCTTGAAGGAACTAGAGTCAAGTTCCAACTCTCTGACCTTTGGTCAATGTGGAAACAGGCTCACATTTTCAGGCCTCCACAGGTTTTATTTCTATATGTACAATGATGATTATAAGGATTTTTGCTGTGTAAAGATTATGCAGGTATTTAATGATGTTCCAGATTCTGTATCAGGCAAAATGATCGCAGTTAGCTGCATACTGCATGCTGCCCACAGACGCATGGAGCTCTTCTCACTTCTGGTCACTTCACACTTTACCAGTAACAGCTAAAGGAAACATCTCACCTTCAGATCTGTTGTTTTTCAGGGGGTCATTGTGGATTCCTGGTAGACACAGGCAGCTTCAGAACTTAGTTAGACCTCTGTATCCACAAAGCATAATTTGAATCTTCTGCTAAGAGCATCAGGCTTCTCCTTAATTATCTAATACAGCCCCACCATTGTTATTGGTTTCCGGGTTACTAGGTGGTGATAAAAACCTAAATAGTAGCAATGCTTATTCACACATTCCCCACCTAAAACTACTGTGTCTTGGCAAGGGAAGAGGATTATAGGCAGGGACAAGCATCACTCATGAGCAATCAAGTGAGTCCTCTATGTACTAAGGCCTGAGGGCCTTATATATGCTGAAATTTTTATGTACTGACAGCTGAGAATATTTTTTACAAATTCTTGATATTTGATTGTAAAAAATAATGACTCAAGATGTAAAACTCTGGAAAATCTTCTGTAATGGCTAAAATATTAGGTTTAGGCAAAGCACAGAGGACCAGGAACATAGTTCAGTGACAGAGTGCTTGCCTCAAATTCATGAGGTCATAAATTCAATTCCCAACACTTCAAAAAAAAAAAAAAGATGGAGCATGAGGCAGAAGCCCATGCCTGGCCTTGGGTAAAAGTGTAATCATCAGTGTTCTTGGGGAATAAGTGTGTGCCCCGTACAATGTGTGCAACTCCTGTCTCCTGGAACTCACAGTTAGCAGAAAGCTGCTGCTGTCTTGTAATTGTGAGGGCCCTGTGTTAATCCATATTGAACCACAGCAAGTGACTTCAAAAAATCTTTGCTTTTCTATGACAATGTCTGACTTGGCATATGCAGTTTCACTCTAAGGCTCTAGGCCTGGAAATCCTTGGAGGAATTAGCACATCCCACAGACCCATGTCCTCCACTCTGTGTAGCTCTGACAGATGAAGTTCTTTTACTGGTGAATGATGTCGCAACCACACGGACCTTCAGGCATGCGGCTCCCTCCTCACTGCTCTTCCTGCTGTGTCAGTCACGTGTGTTTCCCACAGTCTTGTCCTCATTTCTGTATTTCACAGCTTCCTTCACTGAATGGATGCTTCCAGAGGATTCTAGAGCTTCAATTCATGTCAACTATAACTGTAATGGTTTAAATTAAAATGCTGTGGGTCACCAAGTGGCAGCAGTGGGCAGCTGGCCATGAGACCACGCCAAAGGTCCCTGAGTGATGGCAGGCAGCAGGCAGTGGGTCCCAAGACCATGGTGAGCCACTAAGGCAGCCAGGTCTCAGGCAGGAAGCTGTGTGGCAGTTGAGAGACCTAAATGGATAGGCACACCATTCATAGTGAAATTGGATATTTATTTAGTGGGTTATAGAAGGGAAGGGGAGAAGGAGATAGAGCAGAGAGAGAGGTGGGTGGGTGTGGGGAGCCACAGCAGCAGCTACCTCTTTGGGGGAGAGAGGAAAGGAAAAAACTCTGGCTGCAGGCAGGAAGGAAGATCTGTGGTGGATGTTTGGAGGGAGTGGACAGGGCTTGTCTCTTAAAGGGACAAGACAGACCATTATATTTCCATTTCTTTTTTATAATAAAAAAGTGGGAGGTTAGGCACAACAGATTAAAGGAATTGGGACAGTGGATTCTCAAGACTATTTCCTGCTTATTTGTGGTTGTCATCTTGAGGAGGAAACCTTAAAAATCTGGGTGCTAGTTACATTCTGGTGTAGGTAGTCTCTTTGCTCCTGTCTGGTGTGGTATGCAAATGTCTGATGTCTCTTACACCTGTTCAAAGTATTGGCAGAACAGAGGACAAAGTTAAGTTTAGGGGAAAAAAATTTAGGACCATGGAATTGAGAGGGGTGTATCTGACCTATTTAAGGTGGATCGTTCAGTTTGGCTCCCTGGAACTCACAAGTGTTCTTTGGGTTGGTGGAAACAGACGTTTTAGACATATGTATTGTATAAACAGTAATATATTTATGTCAGAATGAATCTTATAGATGTTTTTTGCACAATGTGTGTATTTTTAAGACTATGGAAAGCAGCATGAGAGAGAAATTTGATAACTTGTATTTGTCCCCACACCTTTATAACTTGTAGGTACACACCTTAATAACTTGTATTTATGTTTTACTGAAATTTGTTTGGTGAGGTTGTCCTTTCAAACTGACAAAACCTCTCAGCTGCCAAATTGCATCAAAAATCCTTGAGAAGGATATAATTTTACTTGAGGAGTTATTGATTAAAAAATGACAAAGAACTTACTTGGTTGGCCCCTAGAACTACTCCTCAGGGTTCTTAATGGTCGCTGAAGGTCATATTTGACTTTTGCTGTTTAGTGCAGGGTCTGACAGTCTCCAGAAGATCCTGTGGGCTCAAAAATCTATAGGAAGACAAGCTTACCTTGACCTGAGCAGCTAGGCTGTCAATTCCAGCAATTCTGTCCACTGTCTGGAGATCTTCAGTTTAGATGAAAGGCAGTTTTCCTAGTGGTCAACACTTGGCAGTTGAAACAAAGTGTGGATGAACATTGTTTTGTGCCCCTTTGTCTTCTGTCTTCTTTGGAGAAAATAAACTGCTGCCGCTAGGAGCCAACCTGTCTCTTTTTTGGAATTAAAAGACTTTTAATAATTAAATATTTAAATGCCATATTCCCCAGATCTCTGAACAGTTGAGGGCTGTTTATCAGGTACAGTTGTAGTATAGAATCTGCCTGGAGAGCTGGGTTCAAGTTTGACTGTACTGGCTCTCAACTTAACAGGTAAAGCAGGGTTAGATTAAATATAAAGTATTTTTGCAAGAGACTTAAAAGTACATACCAGTTTAAAACATGAGACTTATTGTTTTTGTAGTTTGAAATAAGATACAATGAACAGACAATTACAACATTTAACAGTAAACACAGGTGCATTTAAGTTACGGGTATAAACACACACATACACACACAGAGTGAACAGGAATTGGGTGGAGTGGATGCTCTTGGTGGGCCCTACCAAAGGCATGCCACTGTGCAAAACATATATGCAACTGAGTCAGCAAGAGGAATTTAGAGACAAAAATATAAGTAAACTGGGATCAGGCAGGGAATACCTCAGTAAAGATGGCGGTGTGAAACGGCAGTGAACACGGCAGGGCTTGTCGAAGAGCGTCCTCTCTCTGTGGGTGAGGTGTTAAAGTCTGACTGGCTCTAGTCTGGGAGACTCAGAAGCCAGTGAAGCTTGAGGCCGCTCCAAGTGGCTTCTCAGGGCAGGGACCACTGATGAGTGGTCCAAAAGAAAAGAAAAAAGGAGAAAGAAAAATCTGAGGGACCCTGGGCCCCCAGTCAAATGCCCTGCACAGCATGTACAGTGCTAGCACAGGAGGACTGACCCCAGGATGACCGGTCATGTTTTTAACTACAGAAAGCAGAGAAGGGCTCAACTGTACTGGTAAAAGATGTGTTTGGAGGCTGGAAGGGGAAAACTCACCACCGAAGTTGTTGGCGTGCATAGAGGTCCAAGCTCAGGCAGATGGAGCACGTGGTTGATGTGGAAAAAATACCCAGTTCCAGATCCCGACCCTGGGAGAGGGACAGGAGGACCTACTGAGTCCAATGGTACAATGTAAGGGTTTAAGTAAAAATGCTGCAGGTCCCCAAGTGGCAGCAGGGAGCAGGCAGCAGGGAGCGAGACCACAGCAGGCCACGAAGGCAGCCAGGTTCCAGGTTAAGAAGCCATGTGGCTGGTGAGAAACCGAGACAGATAGGCACGCCATGCAGAGTGAAGTTGGATATTTATTTAGTGGGTTATGGAAGTGAAAGGGAGAAGGGGAAAGCAGAGAGAGAGGGAGAGAGAGAGAGACAGAGAGACAGAGAGACAGAGAGGGAGAAGGGGAGAAGTGGGGAGAAGGGAGAGACAGAAAGGGAAGGGATCAGACTGGAAGCAGAAGGAAGGTCTGCCTGGACAGGGGAGGAAGTGGGCGGGGCCTGTCCCTTAAAGGGACAGGACAGACCATTACAATAACTATGAACTTTCACATGTTCATATTTATTTTTACAACACAGCACAATATATTGTATATCTTAATTGCTGATAATTTAGGGAAAATGGCCACGTAAATTTGAATTGAGGAAGAATATTACATTTGACTCACCCTGAGCTTCCCCTTAGAGAACTATTCAAAACAGACGGTTACAGGAATCAGAACAAGAAGTCTCCTTTGAGTTTTCATCAGAAAAGGAGATCACATACTATACCTTCTTAACACAATAGCATGTGATGAGAGCAGATACAGAGACCTACAGTCAAAGGTTAGGTAGAGTTCCAGGAACCCCACAGGAAATGGAAAGCAAGGATTGTAGGAGCCAGAGGGTAGAGGAAACCAGGAGGACATGCCCCACAGAATCAACTAACAGGGCTCACAGGGGCTCACAAAGACTGAAGTGCATGGTTCTGCACTAGGCCCTGTGCATACAAGCTTAGGGTTTTCGTGGGGCTCTGAACAGTGGGAGTTGGGGTCTCCAGATACCCCAACTCTTTTGCCTGCTTGTGGGACTCCTTTCCTCCAGTTTGGTTGCCTCATCAAGGTTTGATATGAGGATTTATATCTACTCATAATACTTGATGCTATCCTGCATTCACTGATATCCCTAAGAGCATGCTCTTTTCTGAAGGGAAATGAAGAGAGGGAAAGGGGAGGCAGGCAGAGACTGAGAAGAGAGGATGAAGAAAAGACTGTAGTCAGGATCTATTGTATGAGAGAAGAATAAAGAAAAATTTTCAAAGACAACAGTGTGTAAGCTGTGTGAGCAGAACAGACACCCAGATCAAGACTATGAAGAAACCCTCAGAGGCAAGTGTGAGTGGGTGTGGACACACATATTAGAACATTCACGGGGCACTTCCCTTTGATCATTTCACTTACAGAAATAGGAGTTTGTCGCTGTTGACGAGTTCAGTGTCACATCTCCCATTCGCAATGGACACACCAAGGGTCTGCTCCAAGGTAGAAGACCCCACTCCGGGGCCTCTGTGTGCATCACCTCCATCTCGTCCCCCAGGTCAGTAGCTTTATTTCTCCTTCTGGCATTTGAATATCTTCCAGAGTTACGGTTTCCTCTTACAGTTTTGTTGTTGCTTTGAGGGTGAGCAGCTGTCTGTCCGTGCTGAAGAGAGTAGATGCTCACAGCTTTAGAGATAAGAAGCTGATGCACTCCCTTCTAGTCAGTTAGTTAATGTGAGACATGGCAGCCCTTCTTTCCAGCTTCAGTCACAGACCCTGAAGAAGGGACACTTTACATCTACAAGGAAAGGGATGCTTCTAGCAGAGAGACTCTGTAAAACATCTTGCCTGGTCCAGACTTCTCTACAGAACACAAACACAAAGACTCAGCTCCATGGCATCCTAGCACTGAGCACTGGAGTAAGCAGCACCCTATCTCCCCGAAGATTTAAAATCTGAGGGAAAGAATTGGGAACTAATGTGTAAGACTAAAGTGAGACAAATAAGAAGGATATGATGACTTAGGGGTGGATGAAAAGAGACAGACAGTGAGGCAGAAATTAAGTCTAAAATGGCCATGGTATAGTATGAGATTCTGTGATGTAACTGAGCTTCCTTATAGAATACCACAATGCGTTAAATTTAATCTGTCGATGTTGTGCCAAGAATGTGAATCACAACTTTTTAAGGAGGCTTGTCAGAAACTATTAAATTAACAGATTTTTTTAAATCAGAAAATGTCTTTGAGTCACCAAATAAGCTTCATTATAATCTGTACAAGGGGTCTGGGAAAAGTGGGGGATTTTGGTAACTAGAGGTAAGATTTGTCGGAGCCTGTTATTTGTGGTAGGCATAAGAAAGACTTTGTTTTCCCTGTTTATACCTGTAAAAGTGGAAGGGACTTAAACAGCTTAAGGGTTGGGGTTTGATTTCCCACTAAGTCCAATCAACTCCACCATGTGTCCATGAGGTAAAGGCCATGTCCTGGAGTATAGGTGACCTCTTAGGGACTGTATCGTTGAAGGAAACTGACTCTCTGACTCATAGCAGCTATCAGCTGTCAGTAGCTTCACAAATGGTGTAAGCTAATTTGGACAACTGCACTTTTATGTTCAGAAGACGATGTTTCCTTGTAGTTATCCAGCACTTCTGGTTCTACAGTCAGTCTGCCCCTCTTCTGTGATAATGTCTGAGCCTTGGTTGGGGATGAGATGGGATACACATGTCCCATTTAGGGTAGAGGACTTTGTAGTCTCTTATTCTTTATGTGTTGACCACTTGTGGGTGGTACACACATAGAATCCTATGTGCTGCCTCTTCTTTGGTCCACAAGGGTGGAAGGAGCAGAAGTGAGGAACAGGGTTTGGATGACTGTCAGTAAATTAGAGATAGACCTCCAGGTGATGACTTTGATGAACTGGCTTAGCTTCATTCCAGATTATAGGAAATGTAAAGGATTGAGGAGCTTGGGAACAAACCCTAATTTGTATTAAGCAGCATGCTCCTATCATAAAGCTTCATATGTGGCAGCAGAGTCCTATAGCAATGTTCCTAGTATAAGTCTCAGCTACCTCAAGTGCAACAGGAGAAAGGCTTCTAGCAGGAAACTGTGCCAAGGGTCATGCCGAAGATAAATCAGGCTTAGCGACAGTTTTCATAGAAGAACAGTCCTCCCAGTCAAAAGACATCCTCTAGCTAGGGGAAGGTAGAGAGCAGGAAATCTCACTGGAGGGACAGTGAGTCCTCCATGTTCCCAAGTTTAGAGGAAGCTTCCAGGCTATGGTAGACTGCAACATCTGACCAGCAGAGCCACTCAACAGATTCCCATCACTCAGGATGTGGAGGCAGCAAAATGAGGAGCTCAAGATCATCTTTAGCCACACAGAGAGTTAGAGGTCAGCCTGAACCAATGGACAATTCTCTCTCAGAAACAGAACAGAGCACAGCAAAAGCAATTATCAATGTACTATATTTAAGGAAAGTGCACTGTGAAGGCTACATCCACAAAGTGCTGTATGTTTTAGTTTGCATATGTGTGCATGTGCTTGTGTGTGTGTAGTGTGGTATTATCCACACTTCCAGTTCATCTATCCATTAGGGGGCTTTAGAACTCAGCCAATAGGAAGAACTACCTCAATTGAAATACTGAAAATATGGTGTTGACTCATGAGATGCCCCTCTTGGATGCCATAACTTTAATCCAAGTAGGAAAAGAACTTTGCAGAGTGAAGCAGACCCCATGTTAAGGAATAGAATTACATGCCATTAGCAGGAAAAGGCACAATTACCATAATAGTGAGCATCAAAAATGTCATTTGAGTAAAGAGTGTGCTCCTTAGAGACACGCTGACTGCATTCCTGCAACAGAACATGCTGTTTGATTTACAGTGCCCAGTGGTTTTCAACACATCTTTACTTCTACCAAGACTGAGTCACCCAACGAGCCTTTGTGCAGAGTACATGTATGAGCATTCATTTTCAGTCCTATTTTATCAGAGCAAACAGCTGTTCATAATGCAGAATTCAGCTCATGGAATCCTGCTTTATTTATTTATTTTTTAATTGATTTTATCGAGCTATACTTTTTTCTCTCTCCTCTTCTCCCTTCCTGCCCACTCCCCTTCAACTCTCTCTCATGGTCCCCATGCTCCCAATTTACTCAGGAGATCTTGTCTTTTTATACATCCTATTTAGATTAGATCCATGTATGTCTCTCTTAGGGTCCTCATTGTTGTCTACATTCTCTGGGATTGTGATTTGTAGGCTGATTTTCTTTGCTTTATGGTTAAAAGCCACTTATGACTGAGTACATATGATTATTGTCATTCTGGGTCTGGGTTACCTCACTCAATATGATGTGTTCTAACTCCAGCCATTTACCTGCAAATAACATTTATTTGCAAATGACATTTCAAAATGTCATTTTTTTGATGTGTAGTACTCCATTGTGTAAATGTACTACATTTTCCTTATCCATTCTTTGGTCAAGGGGCATTTAGGTTGTTTCCAGGTTCTGATTATGACAAACAATGCTGCTATGAACATTGTTGAGCACATTTCCTTGTGGTACATTTGAGCATTCTTTGGATATATATACCCAAAAATGGTATTGCTGAGTCTTAAGGATGGTTGTTTCCTAATTTTCTGAGAAATCGCCACACTGATATCCAAAGAGGCTGAACCAGTTTACACTCCCACCAGCAATGCAGAAGTGTTCCCTTTACCCCACAACCTCTCGAGCATAAGTTGTCATCAGTGTTTTTTATCTTGACCATTCTTATAGGTGTAAGATGGAATCTCAGAGTTGTTTTGATTTGCATTTCTCTGATGGCTAAGGATGCTGAGCATTTCTTTTAGTATATTTCAGCTGCTTTATAATACTCTGTTGAGAATTCTCTGTTTAGGTCTATATTATATTTTTATTGAATTATTTGTTTTTTTTTTTTGATGATCCATTTCTTGAGTTCCTTGTATATTTTGGAGATCAGTCTGATGTGGGGTTGGTGAAGATCTTTTCCCATTCTGTAGGCTGCTGTTTTTGTCTTGTTAATTGTGTCCTTTGCTTTACAGAAACTTTTCAGTTTCAGGAGGTCCCATTTATTAATAGTTTTTATCAATGTCTATGCTACTCTGGTTATATTTAGCAAGTGGTCTCCTGTGCCATTGCGGTTAAGTGTACTTTCCACTTTCTCTTCTATGAGGTTCAGTGTAGCTGGCTTTATGTTGAGGTCACTGATTCATTTGAACTTTAGTTTGTGCATGGTGATAGATATGGATCTATTTTCATTCTTCTACATATTGATATTCAGCTATGCTAGCGCCATTTGTTAAATAAATTTTCTTTTTTGCCATTTTATGTTTTTGGTTCTTTGTCAAAAATCAGTTCTTTGTAGGTGTGTGGATTAATATCCCGGTCTTCCATTTGGTTCCATTCTATTGTAATAGGCCGCTTGTTGGTTCCCAGCCACTTAGCCCTCAAATAATCACACAAAAACTATATTAATTAAATCACTGCCTGGCCCATTAGCTCTAGCTTCTTATCGGCTAACTCTTATATCTTTATTTTACCCATTTCTATTAATCTGTATATCACCAAGAGGTCATGGCCTACCAGCAAAGTTTCAGCATGTCTATTTCTGCTGGTGGCTCCATGGCGGCTCCCTTACTCTGCCTTCTTCCTCCCATGCTATAGGCCAAGCCACTTCTTTATTCATTAAACAATAATATCAACACATACACAGAAGAACCTTCTGCACCATTTTCCCTTCTTCATATAAACAAAAGAGAAGGCTTTAACTTTAACATAGTAAAATTACATATAACAAAACAGTTATCAAGCAAGAATTACAGTTACAATATTTATATTTACTTTATCTTTTCTCATAACTATGTATAACTGTAACTATCTATTCTTCAACTCCATCAAAGACTCTAGAAGAATACAATATTACCTAAGTGAAAGGGAAGAACATTGTAAGCAACTTCCAAATCTCAAGAATTGACAGACATGTCACTGCCTGGACAGTCGCCCAAAGTTCTTCTGTACCACTGGGGCATCCATCTTCAGTCCACAGGTCCATAGTATCCAGCAAACTTTTCCATGAAGCAGGAAATTTGAACGACAGTTCCACCTATACCGGCAGTTTGTCTGTCACAGTTTTCTGTATCCTGCAGAATGTTTGGCCAACCCTTTCATGTAGCAGGAACCCTGAAGGATTGTCTCACCTTTAGGCAAGTTCAGCAGTCATTTCTCTGTGGGTCCTACATCTCTAGTTAAGCATTCCAGGCAAGAGCAGTTTCTTGCCCAAATGGCTAACTAACTCCATAAGGAGCCTCTTCAAAGCTTATCTTTCTCTCAAAGTAATTGGTCCTTCCAGGAGCAAACGTATCTCATTGTCATTAAAAGTCCTAAGTGATCAAAGCATTTTAAATGCCATATTTTGTAAGTTTCTGAAAGATTTGACGAATACATATCTAACAGAAATATATCTCTATAATCTAGAAATCTAATATGATTACAAGTTTGACTATTATCTATTAACCTATATTTCTTTTTTTTTAAAGTAATTTTATTAAATTATAAAAGTTTCCATTTCCGTCCCAACCTATATTTCTTATTTATATATTAATTTTTAAATGAGCTACACAATCACAATATCTTAATCAAGAGCATATATATATATATATGTATATATATATAACAAAATTGTTCTTAAATTTGTATCAATAAACCAAGATCCATGCCAGTGCAAATCTCTACAGCATATCTATGTCATATTGCCCTTTAAATGTAAAAAAATCATTTGTAGACAATATTTAGGAATATGGGAATAGTTTCTCCAAACTGCTTCCTGTTGTTTATTGGACAAAGTATTTTCTTTGTGGGGGTGTTTACAGCAACCTTTCAGGGGGTCTTCTTCCATCAAACCACACCAGTCTGGAAGCAATCCACAGGTTCTCATCCTCTATGGAAACAAAAGAAGAACCTCTTTTTCAAAGCAACATATCCTTAGACCCAAATTTGAAAGTCATGATACCTTTAGAACACATGCTGTTTTAGCTTAGCAGCCCATACAATAAAATGTCTCTCTGTACTTAGCTCATTCACAGTCAAAAGATTCAAAGATAACACAATAATATACATAATCCAGACTCTCTGTGAATTTTCCATTTTTATGTGGCTTATTTTTCTTTACTCCTTTTAATCCATGACTATCTCTACTCTGTCTCTTTAAGGACCTTACCCTTTTTTTTAAAGCATTAACTTTATTTTATGACTCTCTATACTCTTTTTCTTCTCTCTTTTAAGCCTATGTACATTTATCCAACACTGTGACTCATTTAGAGTTCTTTTCCATCTGGATTTGTCTTTATTGCATCTCTGTAATTCTTTTCTGACCAGAAGTGCTTCTTAAAATTCTAAGTGCTTAAGAATCTAAGTTGCAACATTACTAGGGTAAATACAGTACTCCTTTTTGCCATGCCCATTCCAAAATGTCAGAGTTCCTCACTGCTTCTGAGAGACACACACACTACCCTACTTCTAGGCACACTGCTAGTCCACATTACCATTAAAACAGGCTGCAGCAGTCTGCTCACAAACCCCACTCAAATGCTCTATAGTCAGACCTCCTGCCTGAAAGATTTATATTTGCATTGGCAGCACCACCATTTCAAAAAAGAGGTGTAAGCATGTTTCTGAAGCTATATCAATGTCTCTAGACTTAACAGATCTTCCATGCAAAGACAGTGGAGGCTTTACATTATGGAAGCTCATAGTCTGAGAGACTAATGGGACATGTGAGCCAATAACTGCATATGTAAAGTGAGTGTCCTAGGATCGTAAATGCTGGACACAGATTCCTCAAGGGAGGAGCAATGTACTGTGCTGAAGACTCAGGATGGACAAAGAAGGACAATAAAAGGAATTTTTCTTTGTTCACTTGACCTAGGTGTCGGGGGCTGTGGAATATGAGTCACAGAACACAGGCTCAGGTTAAGTTCTCTCCTCTGCTTTGATTGTAGAGATTCATAAAGAACTCCACAAAGGAAAAAGGCAATTCATTTTGTATTGGACTTAATTACTCAATGTCAGAGAAGCACTGGAGATGGATAAATGGCTCCACTTTAAGTTCTGATGTGTGAGTATTGGAAGAGCTCACTCGAATATTCATTTCAGGTCATCTCTAGGCACTCATAATGATACCAAAGATTAAAGATGTTCAGGAAAGTCTGAAAATATGACTTCAAAGGTGGCTGAAAATTTCCATGTATGAAAAGATATTAGCCTTTTTTAAAGGTCAACTGTGTGCATGTATGTATGTATGTGTGTGTGTATGTGTATGTGTGTATGTATGTATACAATGAACTTCTAAGGCTGGGGGCTAAACTAACTCCTTAGGAAAGAGAATGCATTTTTACATGTCTATTTAGATCCTGTAGGCAGAAGGAATTTTTCTTTTTTCACTCTTATATTTTTTTATATTTTCCAAAGAATTTATTGAGTGGTCCCTTTCATGCTGTGGTGAAATGAGCCATACTGTGTGGTGAGGCCAGTTGCTCAGGTCACAGCCAGCAGAGGAAGAGTGAGTGGGGAAGGGAAGGCAGTGTCAGCAGGGAACTCTGTCAGCTGAGAGAAATGACCTCATTGTCACAGGCTGTGTGTAGCTTAGCTGGAGTTGTGAAAGCTACAATTATTTGAGGAGCTGAGATGGAAACAGATAACCAAGATAAACCAGAAAGGAACGTCATTTTGGGTAACAGTTCAGAGGGCCTCAAGTCCTTGATCTTATTCCATTGCTGCTGGCCCTGTGGCAATGCAGAAATGCTGTTGGTGCACAGCAAAGTCGTTCACTTCAAGGGGGGCAGGATTGCAAGTCTCTGGGTGAGATAAGCAGAGATTTGCTCTTCAAAACCTGCCCCCACATCATGATTGACATCTTTCTGGGAGGCCTCATTTTGTCTGGTAGGAACTCAGCAATGGGTTAATTCCTTGATGGAGTTAGTGCTCCCATGATCACCTCTTAACACTGTGACAGCTATTCCTCACATGATTTCTTGGGGTACTGAATATCAAAAGTATATTTGTGTGTGTTGTGGCTCACAAAGAAGCCATTATCTCTTTGATGTCTTGTCACTTTCTTATTGTTGAGATCACCATGGTAACTGTGCAGTGAGAGACCTGACATTTCAGAGCTAAACAGTAAATTTTAGCATAATTCATGAATTTTTGTATAACATGAACAGAATATTTATTCCCTTCATAAGAATTCAGTCAAATACACTGCTTTCTAAGAGGTTTTCAGAAGTGATATTAAGAGTTGTTTATTAATCTTGCTTGAATAAACAAACAAATCTTACAAGAAAATGTACTTCGTGTTATTCAGAATACATGAGATTGAAATTTAAAATGCTGATTTAGATTTACTTAAAATGTAATGAAAATTTATTAAATATAGAAATTGATAAACATAAAAGTTGTCATAGAGTAGCGAAATGTATGTAAAGTATATAGATTAAATTCAGCTGATCTGTAGTTTTACTCTGAGGACAAAATGTCTCTGTGCTTAGACAATAAAGGGATTGAGAAGCCTGGAAGCTGCTGTGCTCAGTGGGAAGTGTCAGTCAAGGAAGCCCCGCCTTTCTTTAACTCTCTGTCCCTGGTTTCAGGTAAGGGAAAGGGAGAGAGTAACAGTCTCTCCTACAGGGTTATTTGGGGAATAATAAGGAATGTCAGAGAACTCTCCAGGAGTCCAGCAAGAGAAGGCCTGGAAGGCCTTAAAGGGTTTATAAAGAAAGTCCTTTACTACACAGATCAGCCACAGGGAAATAATGCTGAGAACTGAAGACAGATCCTGAGGAGGGAAGAAATACAAGGGAAATCATGGCTGGATTGCAGGCTGACCACTAGGATGGCGTCAGAGTCAAATCTCAAGCTCAGGGGGCTCCACTAAGAACTAAGCAAAGGAAGGACACCTGTGAGGAGCCCAGCCACTGTCAGATGCCACCTTCTTTTAAGACCCATCAGTGTGCTTAGAACTCACCTCTGCCTTACAGTAACCCCTGATACTGTGTGTTAGCGCTTAAGTTCTAGTTGTGTTCCCATCAGCATGGGGCCATGGGAACCATGCATGTTTGAAACCCATGTGTTAATCAATACTTGCCAACATACGGAGGAGAATGAAAGGAATCATGACAACAAGTCACATGAGCTGAGCCTCTTTTCTTCCCTGCATCTAGTTCTATGATCTAGACCTTGTGAGTTCACTCTGTATACTGGATGCATTCATTGAGCACCTACTGTGTGTAACAGTTGTCACCCATTCTGTATACTGTAATAATGTCTCAAACCTTAGCTAGTTAACCTCATATGTGTGTATGTATGTGTGTATACATATTCATATATGTTTGTGTATATAGGTATATATATGTGGGTATACATTATATATAAACTCATGCTTTTTGTTATTAATATCTTTGGACTGTATTATTCTTTTTGATCTCTGGTCCCTTTAAGGGGCAAGCCACACCCACTCCCAGCGACTTCTGACCTCTCATCGCCATCTTTTCTCTCTTTCTGTTCCCTCTCTTGGCGTGTGCACACGTGTTTTCTGTCTCTTCTCTCTCTCCTTTTCTCTGCTTTCTGTCTTTCTTTCTCTCCCTCTCCTTTTCCTTCTCCCTTTCTTTCTGTTCCCCCTCCATAACCCCGAATAAATATTTTAATCTCATTTTACATGTCCACGTCTCTGTCTCCTGCCTGCCTGCCCACAGCTAGCTCTGCCGCTCTGGCAGACTCTGCCTGGCTCGCGGCTGCTCTGCAAGTCTGCTGCCCGGGTATCTTGGACAGGCCGCGCGGCTGGGCACACCAGCATTTATTTTTTAAGGAATATTAGACTGATTTATTCATTTTTGTTTATGTAAACAAGTGTTTGCCTGGCTTGCATGTGTGCATATGTACCACGTGAATGCCTCTGTCCATGGAAGCCGGAAGAGGGTACCAGATTTTTTGGTACTGGAGATACAGACACTGTGAGCTGCCATGTGGGTGCTGGGAACTGAACTCAAGTTCTTTGCAAGAGCAGCCAGGACTCTTAACCACTGAGCCATCTCTCTAGCCCCAAACCCTGTATATTAAATAAAACTGACACTCAAAAACTATTCTCTTCACTTGATGTGTGAGTCATGGAATGAGGAGATCATATGACATGTTAGTAGAGGAACGAGGCGGTCACATGGCATGTTAGTAGTGGAATGAGGAGATCACATGACATGTTAGTAGTGGAATGAGGAGGTCACATGGCATGTTAGTAGAGGAACGAGGAGGTCACATGGCATGTTAGTAGAGGAACGAGGAGGTCTCCATCCCTTCAAACCATCTGTGTTTCAGGCATCATTATGAACAATGTTGCTGGAAGGGTTCTTTGCCAATGAAGAAACAGCAGGTTTTAGAATTAGCTCTGTCTTCAATGTTTATACATTATGTTTGTGTTTACTACACTTAACACCTGTGCATTCTACTGTTTTCTTTAAATTCCACAGGAGAGCAATGACAAGACATTTATGAGAAAATCCTAAACATATGAGTGGCTGTTCTCTTCCTTCTCAGATTACAAATCTCTGGTGTCACTAAAATAAACAGCTGTGTCACCATCTCAAAGGATAAAGTCTTTTCTGAGAACTGTGCTTCAGACAAGTGGATCTGCCAGAAGGAACCAAAACGTCTCGGAAACCAGGAGTAACAACTCCTGACTGTGAATCCACCTCAATTACTTTACCATCTGCACCAGATCTTTGCACTCACTCTGTCCAGGCCCAAACAGTGCACAGTTGGTGACACAAAGCATGGACTCTAAAACCACTGTGACTCCTACAGATGCCCGTGTTCTGTTTCTTTATTCTGAAAAGAGGAGAGAGAGACTGATGTGCTATTTCAGAGACGTGCTCTGTGGACAGAAGCCCAGACAGCTGAGGAGCACTGGGTTCTAATCCTGGAGACTGTGACCCTCACTCTCTGTGTCTGAGGTCATCTGCAAACAGCACAGATGACCATTTGCAAAATCATTTTTAAAATGCTCTTAATACAGGGACTGATGGCTCATACCTGTGTGAATAGCACTGGGAAGGCTGAGCCAGGAGGGTCACAAGTTCAAGGCCAGCCTGGGTGTGGTGGATTGAATGATAAATGTCCTCCATAGCCTTTGACATTTTATCACTTGGTCCCAGTTGGTGGCCCTCTTTGGGAAGTCTTAGCTGTGTAACCTTGCTGAAGAAAGTGTCCCTGGAGGTGGCCTTTGAGAGTAAAAGCCTCACAGGTAACTTGGTTTGCCTCATGCTTTTGGTTCAGGATGTGAGCTCTCAGCTTCCTGTTCCAGGCACCATGCTTTCTGCCAGCTTCCTGCCCTTATGTACTTCTGGAACCAACAATAAACTCTTACTTCCGTAGGTTTCCTTGATCATGGTGATTTATCATAACAGCAGAAACGTCACTAATACCCTGGGGAAGACAGTGAGCTAGTCAGAACCGACAAGGCAGACACTGCTCTTGGAATTAGAGTGAACATATTTGCCTGTGAGGCCGGCAAGCATAGGGAACAATTAATCACCCTGGAACCTACTTCATTTGAGTCATGCACATACCTCTCTTCTGGTAATGCACTTGACACCCTCGGTTCCTCTCCTGTACATGCTGTGTCCACACACACACCGTGCTCTAAAAAACGCACCTAGCAATCTGTAAGCACCCAAGATCACCACACCCATAGAACAGCACTGCAAGCCCACTTTAATCAAAAAAAAAAAAATGTTATTCACCCCGCAAAGGCAATCAGACATTGACACTTTCTAATCAAACATACTATTAATTATCTGGGAACATGGGTCAGTGTGGTCTAGGGGTGCACGCTCAATAAGACAAACTGTGTTTGAAGCGAATCAGTAGAGAGAGAATCTCCTCTTTACCATGGTAATCCTAGCACAACTGAGCAAGCATGTTATTAACAACATGCACGTGTAGTTGGAGTTTTCTTTGGGCTGCAACCAGCTCCTAAACAAAGACATGAAACATTGTTAATTATGAATTCTCTGTCTTAGCTTGGGCACGACTTACTAGCTCCTTTAACTTAACCTGTTTCTCTTCATTAACATCTTGCCTTGGGCCTTTTGTCTTTCTATTATTCTGTATGTCCTACTTTTCTGCTTCCTCTGTGTCCGGCTGATTGGCGGCTGGCATCTCTTTTTTTCCCTCACCCCTGTATCCTAAATTCTTCTTGATACTTAGTCTTCCTACTAGGAAGTTTATCCTATACCTCCACCCTTGCTATTGGCCATTCAGCTTTTTATTAGACTGGCCAGGTGTCTTTAGGCAGGCGAGGTAAAACGACACATCTTAAAATAATTAAACAAATATTCTGCTACAAATGTGCTCTGGGAATAGTTGTCAGCCAAAATAGAGAACCACCCAAATTAAGCTCCTAGTAACCAAACTCTTTCTTCTCTTGTACCCCCTAAAAGGAAGCTCCAAGCAACAGTTGAAAGACCCCCAATATGGAGAGACTCTAACTCAAGTCTCGGGATAACACGACCCCTCTAGTAACTCACAAGAGACCATCCTTGCTGCAATCACATGAAGTTTAATCAACGGGAAGACGGGAACCAGTGCACTGGGGCCGAGACTCATAACCCACGCAGGGAACAGGGAAGAGTTCAACCCCGAGTCACTGGGAGAAGGGGTTTTTAAGGGGAGAAACCACAGCCCAGTAATCCGAAAGGGGTAGGGAGGTCCAGTGATGATCACAAGGGGGCAACTCCCTGTTCCTCAAGGTTATTCAAGATTATAATCAGCTAGTTCCTGAAACACAGTATCCCCCCCCCCTAAATACCAATGATAATCACAAGGGGGGAAACTCCCTGTTTCTCAAGATTATTCTCAAGATTACAATCTAACTTTATCTTCAACTAGTTCCTGAAACACTGAACTGGCTAATCCTAGATTTCTGATTCTTCCCTCCTTGCTTAGATGTTTGGCTCTATGTTTTCCTGCTAGGGGGATCTGAATTTATCCAGGTCTTTCACAGTCAGTGCCCTAAGGTACTCACTCCTGTGGCTGGATGTCCTCTTTACTGTGTATTCTAATCTGTACCACAGCCTTGCTTTAGGTAAAGCCACGTTCCTACTCCTTGAAAGAGGAGCCAAAAACCTGCAAACACTCCTCTGTGGCCTGGCTACTGGCAACATATTTTATTTACATATATGGTTGTTGATAATGGATGTTATCCTCTTTCTAAATTGGGTAGCAACAGTGACTTTCCCAAGAGAACTATTTTTCAAATAATAAAGCAAAGTGTGGAATGATTTGTCAGCATTTGGGAATAATCCACAGATAGAGCTAAACCCCAAGTTTGAATGCACTGTTGTGCATTACCCCAACACCACCTTGAGGCCGGCCCTTTCTCACATGCCTGGGAAAATGAAATCAGAGCATGCTGTGCATGTGTGCTTTGCCCTTCATCCTAAATTCCCAGCAAATGACACTGGAAAGCCGGTAACCTGTAACGGCTGTCTTCATTGGGATTTCATTATTGCAGTGGAACACTGTGATCAACAAGCTAGTTAAGGAAAGGGTTTATTTGACTCCCACTCCTATACCACTCCTATACGGTATAGGAAAGACAGGACAGGAACTCAAACAGGACATGTACATTGAGGTAGAAGCTGATGCAGAGACCATGGAGAATGCTGCTTACTGGATTGCTTCCCATGGCTTGCTGAGCCTGCTTTCTTATAGAACCCAGGACCACCAGCCCAGGGATAGCACCACTCACAAGGGCTGGGCCCTCCTGCTAAATTGCTAACCTACAGGCATGCCTACAGCCTGATCTTGAAGCTTTATTATTTGTTTTTTTTGTTTTTGTCATTTTTGAGACAGGGGTTTTTTTTTCTGTAGATTTGGAACCTGTCCTGGAATTTACTCTGCAGACCAGGCTGGCCTCAAACTCTTGGAGATCCACTTGTCCCTGCCTCCTGAGTGCTGAGATTAAAGGTATGCACCATCACCGCCCTGCCTTGAAGCAATTTCTTAATTGGTGTTCTCTCTCCTCAAATGACTTCAGTGTGTGTCAACTTGACATAAAACTATTCAACAAAACAGCTAAACATTTCAATCAAATTCCAAGACTGACTGTTATTCCTGTGCATTTGATTGGCTTTGTTCAGATGCTTAGAGTCAGACATCTCTATTCATCAGCAATGCTTTTCATGAGTAACACATGAGAAATCCCCACTGGGATTTGCTACTGACTTGCTTCAATTTGTCACTTGGGAGACTAAGGAGCCCTACAGGATGGTAGAGATTGATAGTTAATTCATAGACTCTATTTGTCTTAACAGGGTGAAGTGGGTTCATACGTAGAATGTATAGAACATATGCAGCAACAATGTCTTATCTTTTCACTTATGTATCCTGAAATTTCCTCTTCATCTATTGGAAATTCTGAATAATTTTAGAAACTGAAAACCAAGTGTTTAAACTCCTGAGCCTATGGAGAATAGTTGCATCTCAGACAAAGCACCACAGTACATAGAGAGCTGCATTTTATACAGTGTTATAACATAGAAAAAAGATGAAATTCAGGTGTTTGAATACTTAATCTCCAGCTTGTGGCATGGTTTGTGTTGGTTTAGGAGGTGCAGCTTTGGAAGAAGCCTGTCACCGGGGGTGGCCTTTATCCATGCATCATTCCCAGTTTGCTCTCTCTGCTTGCTGTTTGTGGTTCAAGATGTGAGGTCTCAGCTTCTGCTCCAACCACCATGCCTGCCTACTGCCTTTCTTTCCCCTTCCATGACGGTGAAGAACTCCTAACCCACTGGAACTGTAAACCCAAACAACCCTTTCCTTGCCTTAGTCACCGTGCTGGATAGTTTTATGTCAAGTGGACACAGACTAAATGATGAACTCTGATGTGGAAGCACAAGCCAAGAAACCCTTCCCTAGCTTGCTTTGGTCATTGTGTTTCATCACAGCAAGAGTAACCCTAACTAAGATAAATTGGTACCAGGATTGAAGGCTATTTCCGTGACAGATCTGACCACATTGTTACAGAGAGGATTATGGAAGGACTTTAGAACTTTGTGTAAGAAAAGCCATTGAGTGTTCCATGCTGGGTGAGATGTTCTGTAGGAGCTTGGAAGAATAGACTATTCAGAACAATGCAAAAGACAGAGGCTTTTCTTGTGATGTCTCAAAGGGACGTTTAAAATCTCTAACTGGGACATTTGTTATTTGAATTTAGATTCTGGCATCCTGGTTAGCTGAGGCTGAAGAATCAGCTGTGATTTACAGGACCCCAGAGCTACTAAAGTAGAATCTTTGCTTTGCTGGGATGCTATATGCTGGTCAGCTGGAGCTGAGAATTTAGCAGTGAGTAAGAAGAGACTGGAATCGCTGAGGTGAGATCTCCTGGGAAGTGTTTCCTGAGAGCATACAGAAGCTGTGTTTCAGACATGACCAAGGCTGTGCCTCGAGCTGGCAGCTGACCTTAGTAGTGTAAGTGTCACCCAGGTGGTACTGGTTTTGAAGGCACAAAGAGGTCATGGAAAGTAGTCCAGTCTTGGCACTCAGAGAGCCCAGGAGAGGCCACTGGTAAAGCTGCAGCATCAGTCACATTTCAAAGCCTAGGATTGAAGGCAGGGGTCATGCAGAGAAGCTGAAGCTTGGCACCGTGAAGAGAGCCTATGAGAAGATCCTGGCGAAAGTGTAGCCCAGTTGCACTAGAAGACCCAGGCATTTTGGAGATGCCAGTGCATTGGGCTGACTGCCAAGGTCACCTGAGGTGTGGAATGTAGGCCTGAGCCTGGGAGACAAGCTGTGTGTGCTGTAGAGGACCGAGCCAGAGAAGTGCTCCAAACCCTACGGGGGAGACCAGATGGTTGTGAGAAAACCCAAGACATTCAAAAATTTGTTACTTATACTGTTGGGAGTTGGGTTTTCCTCTGATCTGATTCTCAGTACATCTTGGTTCTTTCTTCTTGAAGTAAGAAAGTGTTTAACTTAATTTTGATGTTATTGGATCCCACAATTTAGAGGCTTTGAATTTAAAATGTGACTTTAAGGAAATCTTCTCTTCTTCTTCACTTGATATGAGAGTGTCTGACTTGTCATTTGTCATCCTGCTCTAAGGCTCTAGGCCTGGAAATCCTTGGAGGAGTCAGCACATTCCACAGACCCGTGTCCTCCACTCTGTGTATCTCTGACAGACGAAGTCCTTCCACTGGTGAATGATGTCACATCCATACGGACCTTCAGGACAGGGCTGAGCAGCGCATGCGGCTCCCTCCTCACTGCTCTTCCTGTGGTGTCAGTCACGCGTGTTTCCCACAGTCTTGTCCAGCTTCCTTCACAGCATGAATGCTACCAGAGGATTCAAGAACTTCAATTCATGTCAACTATAACTATGAAGTTCACATGTTAATATTTATTTTTACAGCACAGCATAATGTACTGTGTATCTTAATTGCTGATAACTTGTGGAAAATGGTCACTTAAATTTCAATTGAGGAAGAATGTTACATTTCACTCACCCTGAGCTTCCCCTTAGGTAAGAGCTCAAAATAGATGGTTACCGGAATCAAAACAAGAAGTCTCCTTGGAGTTTGGTTAAAAAGAGAGAGAAAGCGAGACCACATGCTATACCTTCTTAACACAGTAGCATGTGATGGGAACAGACACAGAGATCCACAGTCAAAGGTTGGGGGAGTACAGGAACCCCACAGGAGATGGGGAGGAAGTATTGTAGGGGCAGAGGGTCAAGGAGACCAGGAGAACAAGGCCCACAGAGTCAACTAGCAGGGCTCAAGGGGCTTCACAGAGACTGAATCAGGGAGCTTGGATGGGTCTGCACTAGGCCCTCTGGACATATGCTGTGGTGTTCAGCTTTAGGGTTTCTGTGGGACTCAAAACAGTGGGAGTTAAGGGCACATCTAACTCTTTTGTCTCCTGCTGGGCGGCCTCATTGAAGTTTGCTCTGGGGATTATGACTGCGCTTAATACATGTTGTTATCCTGCATTCATTGATATCACTGAGAAGGAGCTCTTTTCTGAAGGAAAATGAAGACAGGGAGAGAGGAGGCAGGGGCAGGGAAAGACTGGGAAGAGGGGAGGAAGGGAACTCCGCAGTCAGGATCCATTGTATGAGAGAAGAATACAGAAAAATTTTAAAAGACAACAGTGTGTAAGCAGAACAGACACCCAGGTCAAAACCATGGAGACACCCTCAGAGGCAAGTGTGATGGGTGTGGACACACATATCAGAGCATTCACAGGGGACTTCCCTTTGATCATTTCACTTACAGAAATAGGAGTTTGTCGCTGTTGTGAGTTCAGTGTCACATCTCCCATTCGCAATGGACACACCAAGGGTCTGCTCCAAGGTAGAAGACCCCACTCCAGGGCCTCCGTGTGCATCACCTCCATCTCGTCCCCCAGGTCAGTAGCTTTATTTCTCCTTCTGGCATTTGAATATCTTCCAGAGTTATGGTTTCCTCTTACAGTTTTGTTGTTGCTTTGAGGGTGAGCAGCTGTCTGTCCGTGCTGAAGAGAGTAGCTGCTCACAGCTTTAGAGATAAGAAGCTGATGCACTCCCTTCTAGTCAGTTAGTTAATGTGAGACATGGCAGCCCTTCTTTCCAGCTTCAGTCACAGACCCTGAAGAAGGGATGTTTTACATCTACAAGGAAAGGGATGCTTCTAGCAGAGAGACTCTGTAAAGCATCTTGCCTGGTCCAGACTTCTCTACAGAACACAAACACAAAGACTAAGTTCCATGGCATCCTAGCACTGAGCACTGGTGGAATCGGCACCCTGTCTCCCAGAAGATTTAAAATCTGAGGGAACGAAATGGAAACTAATGTGGAAGACTGAGGTGAGACATATATGAAGGATATGATGATTTCGGGGAATGGGTGGTAAGAGACAGACAGTGAGGCAGAAATTAAGTCTAAAATGGCCATGGTATAGTATGAGATTCTGTAATGTAACTGAGCTTCCTTATAGAATACCACAATGTGTTAAATTTAATCTTTCTATATTGTGCCAAGAATGTGAATCACAACTTTTTAAGGATGCTTGTCAGGAACTATTAAATTAGCAGACTTTTTAATCAGAAAAAATCTTTGAGTCACCAAATGAGCTTTGTTATAATCTGTTCAAAAGTTCTGGGAAAAGTGGAGGATTTCAATAACTAGAGGGAAGATTTTACAGAGCCAGTTATTTGTGGTAGGCACAAGAAAGACTTTGTTTCCCCTGTCTATACCTGTAAAAGTGGAAGGGACTTAAACAGCTTAAGGGTTGGGGTTTGGTTTCCCACTGAGTCCAGACAACCCTGCCAGTGTGTGCATGGGTGAAGTTCATGTCCTGGAGCATAGGTTGCTTCTTAGAGACTGTATCCTGGAAGAAAACTGACTCCCCCACTCCTAGCTGCCATCAGCTGTCAATATGTTCCCAGTCTGGGGTGGAACCTCATGCCCAACTCCCCCACAATCTTTTGTCAGACTTGAGCTTTTGAAGGTCTTGTGCAGGCCATCACAAATGGTACAAGTTCATCTCTGCAACTTCCCTGTTATGTCCAGAAGATGGTGTTTCCTTGTAGTTATCCAGCATGTCTGGTTCTACAGTCAGTCTGCCCCCTTCTGTGATAATGCCTGAGCTTTGGATGGGAATGGGATGGGATGCAGATGTTCCACTTAAGGTGGAAGACTTCTTAGTCTCTTACTCTCTACATGCTGACCACTTGTGTCTGGTGCACACCTAGAATCCTGTTGTTCTGCTTCTTCCTTGGGTGGCTGGCTGCACTGGTCCATGGGGGTGGAAGGAGCAGAAGTGGAGAATGAGATTTGAATTGCTGTCAGTAAGAGAGAGATTGCCCTTGAGGAGATGACTTTGATGAATCAGCTCAGCTTTATTCCAGAGTATAGGAAATATGTAGGATTGGGAGTCTGGGGACAAACCCTAACTTGTTTTAAGCAGCAAGCTTCTATCATAAGGCTTCATATGTGGCAACAGAGTCCTATAGCAGTGTTCCTAGTATAAGTCTCAGTTTCCTTAAGTGCAATAGGAGAAAGGCTTCTGGCAGGAAACTGTGGCAAGAGTCATGCTGAAGATAAGGATTCCAGGCTTGGAGACAGCTTTCATAGAAGGACAGTCCTCCCAGCCAAGAGACGTCCTCCAGATAGCAGAAGGTAGAGAGCAGGAAATCTCACTGGAGGGACAGTGAGTCCTCCATGTTCCCAAGTTTAGAGGAAGCTGCCAGGCAATGGTAGACTGCAACATCTGACCAGCAGGCCCACCCAACAGATTCCCATCACTCGAGATGTGGAGGCAGCAGAATGAGGAGCTCACACAGAGAGTTAGAGGTCAGCCTGGACCAATGGACAGTTCTCTCTCAGAAACAGAACAGAGCACAGCAAATGCAATTATCAATGTACTATATTTAAGGAAAGTGCACTGTAAAGGCTACATCCACAAAGTGCTGTATGTTTTAGTTTGCATATGTGTGCATGTGCTTGTGTGTGTAATGAGATGCCCCTTCTTGGACGCCATAACTTTAATCCAAGTTGGAGAAGACCTTGTAGACCTCAGTGATGCAGACACCATGTTCAGGAATAGAATCTCATGCCACAGGATCAACAGTCACAATTACCACAAAAGTGAGCATCGAACATATCTTTTGGAAAAAAAAGGTGCTACTTAGAGATGTGTTGACTCCATTCCCGCAACAGAACATGCTGTTTGATTTATAGTGCTCAGTGGTTTTCAACAGATCTTCACATCTACCAAGACTGCGTCACCCAATGAGCCTTTGTACAGAGTACATGCATGACCATTCATTTTCAGTCCTACTTATCAGAGCAAACAGCTGAACATAATGCAGAATTCAGCTCCTGGAATCTGCTTTACATTGGCAGAGAAACACTCACATCCGCAGCCCACCATCTACTTGAATCCAGTTGTCCGCGTTAATCAAAACCACCTTTAACGTTCATCCCAGATGTACTCAACTGACTTAAGCAGTAACCAGGTGTTTAACTTCACAGACACCTGCCGGTGCCCACGTTCCCACAGGTTGGCTCTGGAACTCAGTTGTGCTGGGCTCATCCTTCTTCTCCTGACCGTGATTGGACTGAGTGTTTTAGGTAAGTGAGGCAAGAGCTTTGGCTTCAGAATTGTTCCTCTAGATATCAGGTCATCTTCACGTGGTTTGTCCCCTTGAGCTGGGGGAAGGTCAACCACAAGAGTAGTTACACATCAGTGTCCCATGTGCAGTGCAGAAGCTTCCCATTTCTGTGCTTCTGAGTCGTGAGGGGCTATTACAGAGGAAGGGCTCTCTAACATACCCATGCACGGCAAACATGGCACTTGCAGGTTTTACCGTTTTCCCTTTCCTCTCACTTAACTTCTAGATTACCCTCGTAAACTAGTCCCCAAGTCCAGTCCATTCCTCTAATTGGCCATGGAATGCTCTTGAGGTTGAGCACCATGATACAATTTTCAAAACATCAATGTCCAGCAATCAAAGTTAATTATTTGGCGACAATGTTTTAGTCAGGACTTACAACTCATCCTAGTACAGACTTCTTTTCTCCTCAACAACCCAGTCCTGCAAAAACACCTGCTGCTATCTATTCCAGATAAAGAGGCAGCCCCTCCCCATGCCCTTCAGGTTAATAAATCTCTTTTCTGTTGACAATTCGGTGGCTGTGTGTGTTCTTAGCTGACTCCAAATGCCCAACAACACATATCCACCCAGAACCTAAAAAACAAAAACAAAACAAAACAAGTCATAATTGTGACATAAACAACAAGGTAGAAAACTAAAAGGCTCAAGTGTTTAGTTTATCAAGTGGCTTCTGAACTCCAGTGGCAGTAAGCTGCCTTCCTTGGAGACAGTGTGATGATACTCATTCTGACAATGGGAATTCAGACATGATTTTGCTAATTTAGGAGTTTCTTTAAGGTCATTAGATGATATGTGGTCTGAAATCACATGTTCTGTGTTTTTCTTTTTTGTTTACACATTCTGTCTCCAAACTGACTCCTCTGTGGTTGATATTTTACTCTCAGTTCATATGTTCATCTTTGCTGAAGTTACTCGATTTCCTGAATTGGGAAGAAAAACACCATTCCACAGTCACTTCAGTATTTAATCCTCTCCATTTGTTTTCTTATTTACTAGTGCGAGTCTTAATACAAAAGTCATCAATAGAAAAATGCAGAGTGTATATTCCAAGGATCGCGGCAAGCTCTACAGGTAATCATTGACCAAGGTTTCTGTCCCAAAGAAATACACATAGATCTATGTTAATCATAAAATAGTTGGCCTATTAGCTCAGGCTTTTTATTAATTAATTCTAACATCTTAACCCATAATTCTTGTCTGTGTTAGGCATGTGCTTTGGTACCTTTCATCAGTAAGGCAGTCTCATCTGTGTCTTCTATGTCTGGGTGATGACTGCAAACTGAATCTTTCCTCTTCTCAGAATTCTCCTGTTCTCATTGCCCCGCTTCTACTTCCTGCCTGGTTGCCCTGCCTCTACTTCCTGCCTGGCTACTGGCCAATCAGCACTTTATTAAACAAGTACAAGAAGCAAATCTTTACAGGGTAAAACCATTGTTCAGCAGGTAATTTTTACAGCTTGATTTTCCCAAGAATAACAGTTGACATTTGCTATTTATCAGGGCTTACATCAGTGGAGGCTTCAAACTCTTACCCATGAAGCCTGCACCATGGTCTTACATTAGAGGAAATTCCAGTATAGAAACTTATCAGGTCTCATGACTGGTAGTTGATACTGCTTGGAACTTCTTTGAAACAATGCAACCTTGACACCTGAGATATTAATCACTTTGCCATGCTGCCTCCAATGATATCACATCACACTAGACCAATAACTTTAAAAATATCCTAATAGAATATTTCTTTTAACAAATGTGTTAATGTTAGCTTTGTCTAGTTGATTGATAGAAAGAAAAATGAATTCCTTGTTGTTTGTATATCTTTTTGTCATAACAATAATCTCATCCCAGCACATGTTACTGTGTGTGTAAAAGTGTGTGTTAGCAAAGCAACTACTGTGTGTAACTGGCTGCAGAGCAGCACGGACAGGGTGGAAATTTACCATGTCTGCTCCTCCCTTCAGAGAGTCCAGTTCACCTAATGTGCCCCAATGACTGGCTGCCACACCGAAGTAAATGCATACAATTTTCTCAAGAGAGCAGTGTTTGGAAGGAAGGTCTATCTGACTGTGCTAGAAAAGGAGCCACTTTACTGCTCATTCAGGACCAAGAAGAACTGGTAAGTTCTGCTATAAAACAGAGTCGGGAACACATTTCTGAAGCCGCACCACCATCTCTAGACTTAACAGATCTTCCACACAAAGGCAGTGGAGACTTTACATTATGAAAGCTCATAGTCTGAGAGACTAATGGGACATGTGAGCCAAGAACTGCATATGTAGGGTGAGTGTCCTAGGATCATAAATGCTGGGCACAGATTCCTCAAGGGAGGAAGAATGAACTGTGCTGAGGACACAGGTGGCACTTGACCTTGGTGTCGGGAGTCTGTGGAATATGAGTCACAGCACACAGGCTCAGGTTAAGTTCTCTCTTCTGCTTTGATTTTAGAGATTCGTAAAGGACTCGATAAAGGAAAAAAGCAATTCATTTTGGATTGGACTAAATTACTCAATGTCAGAGAAGCACTGGAGATGGATAAACGGCTCCACTTTAAGTTCTGATGTGTGAGTATTAGAGGAGCTCACTCAAATATTCATTTCAGGTCATCTTACTGTAGGGCTCTAATAATGATACCAGTTCAGAACAGTCTGAAAATATGATTTCAAAGGTATTGGCAGAGGTTTCTATCCTTCCCAGTCCCTGCATTGTTAAGTCCCAAAGAAATCATACAAAGGTCTACATTAATTATGAACTGATTGGCCTAGTATCTCAGGCTTCTTATTAACTCTTTCTTACATCTTATATTAGCCCATTATTCTTGTCTATGTTAGTTACATGGCTTGATACCTAGTGAGGGAATCACATTTAGCTTGCTCTGTGTCTGGCTGACAACTGCAGACTGACCTTTCTGCTTCTCAGAATTCTCCTGTTCTCGCTGCCCACCTCTACTTCCTGCCTGACTACTGACGAATCCGCATTTATTTAAAAATAATACAAGTGATAGGATACAGACCATTGTCCCACAGTACAAAGGTGGCTAAAAATTTCCACGTATTAAAAGATCATAGGTGTGTGTGTGTGTGTGTGTGTGTGTGTGCGGTGTATGTGTGTATGTATGTATGTATGTATGTATGTATGCATGTATACAATGGACTTCTAAGACTGGAGACTAAACTAACTCCTTAGGAAAGAGAATGCATTCTTGCATGCCTCCTTAGAGCCTGAAGGCACAAGGAACATTGCTTTTTTCACTCTCATATTTTTTATATTTTCCAAAGAATTTCTTGAGTGGTCCCTTCCATGCTGTGGTGAAATGAGCCATAGTGTGTGGTGAGGCCGGTTGCTCAGGTCACAGCCAGCAGAGGAAGAGTGAGTGGGGAAGGGAAGGCAGTGTCCGCAGGGAACTCTGTCAGCTGAGAGAAATGACCTCATTGTCACAGGCTGCAGTGTAGCTTAGCTGGAGTGGTGAAAGCTACAATTATTTGAGGAGCTGTGATGACAACAGACCTTAATCAAGATAAACAAGAAAGGAAAATCATTTTGGTTCACAGTTCAAGGGGCCTCAAGTCCATCTTCGTCTTCTTCCATTGATGCTGGCCCTGTGGCAGTGCAGAAATGTTGTAAGTGCACAGCAGAATTGCTCACCTCGAGGTGGGCAGGATGGAGAGGAGAAGGCAAGCCCCATGGGTGGGATGGGAAGCAGAGATTTGCCCTTCAAAAGCTGCTTCCCACCATGACCTAGGTCTTTCTGGGAGATCTCATTTTGTCTGGTAGGAACTCAGCAATGGGCTAATTCCTTGATGGAGTTAGTGCTCCCATGATCCAGTCACCTGTGAACACTGTGACAGCTATCCTTCACATGATCTCTTGGGATACTGAATATCAAAAGTATATTTGTGTGTGTTGTGGCTCACAAAGAAGCCATTAGCTCTTTGGTGTCTTGTCACTTTCTTATTGTTGAGATCACCATGGTAACTGTGCAGTGAGAGACCTGACATTTCTGAGCTAAACTGTATATTTTAGCTTAATTCATGAATTTTTGTATAACAAGAACAGAACACTCATTCCCTTTATTTACATATTTACAAAATATGTAGGAATCAGTCAAATTCCTATACACTGCTTTCTATGAGGTTTTCAGAAGGGAAATTGAGCGTTGTTTATTAATCTTGCTTGAATAAACAAACAAATCTTACAAGAAAATGTACAGAACACATGAGATTGAAATGTAAAATGCTGATTTAGATTTACTTAAAATGTAACAAAAACTTATTAAGTATAGAAACTGATAAACATAAAAAGTTGTCATAGAGAAATATATGTAAAGTATATAGATTTAATTCAGCTGCTCGGTAGTTTTACTCTGATTTACAGAGTAATGTCTCTGTAATTAGACTAAAGGGATTGAGAAGCCTGGAGGCTGCTGTGCTCAGTAGGAAGTGTAAATCAAGGAAGTCCCGCCTTTCTTTAACTCTCTGTCCCTGGCTTCAGGTAAGGGAGGAGAGTGTAACAGTTTCCCCCACAGGGTTTTTTGGAGATTAATAAGGAATGACAGAGAACTCTCCAGGAGTCCAGTAGGAGAAAGCCCGGGAGGCCTTAAAGGGATTGTGAAAGGAAGTCCTTGACTACACAGATCAGCCACAGGGAAATGATGCTGAGAACTGAAGACAGATCCTGAGGATGGAAGAAATACAAGGGAAATCGTGGCTGGATTGCAGGCTGACCACTAGGATGGCATCAGGTTCACATCTCAAGCTCGGGGGCTCTACTAAGAACTAAACAAAGGAAGGACACCCGTGAGGAGCCCAGCCACTGTCAGATGCCACCTTCTTTTAAGACCCATCAGTGTGCCTAGAACTCACCTCTGCCTTGCAGTAACCCCTGATACTGTGTGTTAGTGCTTAAATTCTAGTTGTGTTCCCCCCAGCAAGGGGCCATGGGAGCCATGCACATTTGAAACCCATGTGTTAATCAAATACTGGCCCACCTAAGGAAGCAGAATGAAAGGAATTGTGACTGTGAGTCTCACGAACTGAGCATCTTTCCCTCCCTGCATCCAATTCTGTGATCTAGACCCTGTGAGCTCACTCTGTATACTGGATACATTCACTGAGCACCTACTGTATGTAACTGTTGTCACCCATCACGTATATCATAATCCTTTCCCAATCCTTAGTGAGTTAACCTCATATGTATGTATATGTGTATATATACACATACATATGTGTATATATGTGTGTGTGTATTTACATGTACATATATCTCCGTGCTCTTTGCTAATAATCTATTTGAATTGATTTATTCGGTTTTGTTTATGTAAACAAGTGTTTCCCTGGCTTGTGTGTTTGTGCGTGGACCACATGAATTCCTGTGTCCATGGAAGCCAGAAGAGGGTACCAGATTTCTTGGTACTGAAGTTACAGATACTGTGAGCTGCCATGTGGGTACTGGGAACTGAACTCAAGTTCTTTGCAAGAGCACTCAGGACTCTTAACCACTGAGCCAAATCTCCAGCTCCAAACCCTGTATATTAAATAAAACTGACACTCAAAAAAAATTCTCTTCGTTTGATGTGTTAGCTATGCAATGAGGAGATCACATGATGTGTTAGTAATGGATGGAGGAGTTCACATGACATGTTAGTAGTGGAATGATGAGGTCACATGACGTGTTAGTAGTGGAATGAGGAGATCACATGACATGTTAGTAGGAATGAGGAGATCACATGATATGTTAGTAGTGGAATGAGGAGGTCATATGACATGTTAGTAGTGGAATGAGGAGGTCACGTCACATGCTAGTAGGGGAATGAAGAGGTCTCTATCCTTCAAACTGTCTCTGATTTATGCATCATTATGAACATTATTGCTGGAAGGTTTCTTTGCCAGTAAAGAAGCAGCAGGTTTTAGAACCAGCTCTGCCTTCAATGTTTATAACATTCTGTTTGTGCTTAGTACACTTAACAACTGTGCATTCTCCTGGTTCCTTTAAATTCCATAGAAGAAGCAATGACAAGATATTCATGAGAAAATCCTAAACACTAATAGTGGCTGTTCTCTTCCTCCTCAGACTGAACATCACAGGCGATTTTAAACGAAACAGCTGTGTCGCCGTCTCAAAGGACAAAGTGGTTTCTGAGAACTGTGCTTCAGACCACAAGTGGATCTGCCAGAAGGATCCAAAATGAGTCCCTGAAACCAGGTGTGATGACTTCTAACTGGGGATCCCATCTCAAACACTCTATCATACAGATCTCTGCTCTCCCTCTGGCTAGACTGTCGACCCAAATATTGCACAGTTGGTGACACAAAGCATGGACTCTAAAACCACTGTGACTCCTACAGATGCCCGTGTTCTGTTTCTTTATTCTGAAAAGAGGAGAGAGAGAGACTGATGTGCCCTTTCAGAGACGTGCTCTGTGGACAGAAGCCCAGACAGCTGAGGAGCACTGGGTTCTAATCCTGGAGACCGTGTTCCTCACTCTCTGTGTCTGAGGTCATCGGCAAACAGTACAGAAGACCATTTGCAAAATCATTGATAAAAGCTCTTAATGTGAGTACTGATGGCACATGCTTTTGGTAACAGCTCAATGAAGGCTGAGCCAGGAGGATCACAAGTTCAAGGCCAGCCTAGGTGTGGTGGATTAAATGAGGAATGTCCTCCATAGCCTTTGACATTTTACCACTTGGTCTCCAGTTGGTGGCACTGTTTGAGAAGGTTTAGGAGTGCAGCCTTGCTGGAGAAAGTGTGTCCCTGAAGGTGGCCTTTGAAGTAAAAGCCTCACATGTAACTTGGTCTGCCTCATGCTTTTGGTTCAGGATGTGAGGTCTCAGCTTCCTATTCCAGGCACCAAAATGGTTTATGTCTTCTTCCTGCCCTTATGTACTTCTGGAAACAACAATAAACTCTTTCTACTGTAGGTCACCTTGGTCATGGTGATTTATCATAACAGCAGAATCGTCACTAATACCCTGGGGAAGACAGTGAGCTAGTCAGAACCGACAAGGCAGACACTGCTCTTGGAATTAGAGTGAACATATTTGCCTGTGAGGCCGGCAAGCATACGGAACAATTAATCACCCTGGAACCTACTTCATTTGAGTCATGCACATACCTCTCCTGGTAAAACACTTGACACCCTCAGTTCCTCTCCTGTACAGTCTATGTCCACACACACCACTCTCTAAACAACGCATCTAGCAATCTGCTAGCACCCAAGACCACCGCATCCATAGAACAGCACTGAGAGCCCACTTTAACCAATGGAAAAAGTTATTCACCCTGCAAAGGCAATCAGACATTGACAGTTTCTAATCAAACATACTATTAATTATCTGGGAACGTGAGTCAGTCTGGTCTAGGGGTGCATGCTCAATAAGGCAAACTGTGTTCTCAAGCGAATCAGTAAAGAGACTCCTGTTTACCAAGGTAATCCTAGCACAGCTGAGGACACATGTTATGACAACATACACATGCAGTTGGAATTTTCTTTGGACTGCCAACCAACTCCTAAACAAAATCATGAAACATTGTTAATTATGAATTCTCTGTCTTAGCGTAGGCATGTCCCACTACCTCCTTTAACTTAACTTAACCTGTTTCTCTTCATCAACATCTTGCCTTGGGGCCTTTTGTCTTTCTATTATTCTGTATGTCCTACTTTTCTGCTTCCTCTGTGTCCAGCTGATTGGCGGCTGGCATCTCCCTGGCATCTCTTTTCTCCCTCACCCCTGTATCCTAAATTCTTCTTGATACTTAGTCTTCCAACTAGGAAGTTTATCCCATACCTCCACCCTTGCTATTGGCCATTCAGCTTTTATTTGACTAATCAGCTATCTTAGGCAGGCAAGGTAAAACAACAACACATCTTAACGTAATAAAACAAATATTCTGCTACAAACGTGTTATGGGAAGAGTTGTCGGCCAATATAGAGAACCACCCAAATTAAGCTCCTAGTAACCAAACTCCTTCTTCTCTTGTACCCCCTAAAAGGAAGCTCCAAGCAACAGTCAGTGGCCTAAAGTACTCACTCCTGTGGCGGGAAGTCCTCTTTACTGTGTATTCTAATCTGTACAATGGTCTTGCTTTAGTAAAGCTCCCCAGCCACATTCCTACTCCTTGAAAGAGGAACCAAAAACCTGCAAACACTACTCCATGGCCTGGCTAGTGGCAACATATTTCATTTACATATTTGGTTGCTGATAATGGATGTTACTTTGTTCCTAAACTGCGTAGCAACAGTGACTTTCCTGAGAAAACTATTTTTCAAATAATAAAGCAAAGTGTGGAATGATTTGTCAACATGTGGGGATGATCCACAGATAGAGCTGAACCCCAAGTTTGCACTGCACTGTTGTGCATTACCCCAGCACCACTTGAGGCCCTTTCTCACATGCCTGGGAAAATGAAATCAGAGCATGCTGTGCATGTGTGCTTTGCCCTTCATCCTAAATTCCCAGCAAATGACACTGGAAAGCCGGTAACCTGTAACCGCTGTCTTCATTGGGATTTCATTATTGCAGTGGAACACCGTGATCAACAAGCTAGTTAAGGAATGGGTTTATTTGACTCCCACTCCTATACCACTCCTATACGGTATAGGAAAGACAGGACAGGAACTCAAACAGGACATGTACATTGAGGTAGGAGCTGATGCAGAGACCATGGAGAATGCTGCTTACTGGATTGCTTCCCATGGCTTCCTGAGCCTGCTTTCTTATAGAACCCAGGACCACCAGCCCAGGGATGGCACCACTCACAAGGGCTCGGCCCTCCTGCTAAATCGCTAACCTACACATGCCAACAGCCTGATCTTGAAGCTTTATTATTTGTTATTTTGTTTTTGTCATTTTTGAGACAGGGGTTTTTTTTCTGTAGATTTGGAACCTGTCCTGGAATTTACTCTGCAGACCAGGCTGACCTCAAACTCATAGCGATCCACCTGTCCCTGACTCCTGAGTGCTGAGATTAAAGGTATGCACCATCACTGCCCTGCCTTGAAGCAATTTCTTAATTGGTGTTCTCTCTCCTCAAATGACTTCAGTGTGTGCCAACTTGACATAAAACTGTCCAACAAAACAGCTAAACATTTCTGAGCAACCAATCAATTTCCAAGGCTGACTGTCATTTCTCTGCATTTGACTGAGTTTGTTCAGATCCTTAGAATCAGGCATCTCTATTCATCAGCAGTGGTTTTCATGAGTAACATAGGAGAAATCCCCACTGGGATTTGCTACTGACTTCAATTTGTCACTTGGGACACTAAGGAGCCCTACAGGATGATATAGACTGATAGTTAATTCATAGAATCTATTTGTCTTTACAGGATGAAGTAGTTTCATACATAGAATGTTTAGAACAGAAATGTGGAGGGCCGCAACCACATTCTCCATTACTTTAAGGAGGCAGAGGTAGTTGACCTCTGTGACTTCAGGGTGTGGCAGTACACACCTTTAATCCCAACACAAGGGAGGCAGAGGTAGATTAACCTCTGACTTCAAGGGGCAGAGGCAGATAGACCTCTGTGACCTCAAGGTGTGGTAGTACACGCCTTTAATCCCTATGCCTGGGAGGCAGAGACAGATCTCTGTGAGTTCAAGGTGTTGTAGCACAGGTCTTTAATAACTTTCCACTGCTACTGTCCCTGCCTACTCCCGAGGCGTCATCTGGGTTGATGGGCAGCGGACCAATCCAAGAGTGACACGTCCGAAGCGAGGACTGTTTCCTATATAAGGGACGGGTTCCCCTCATTCTGGGTCTCCGCTTTGTAAGCTTATGCTCTCTCTCTCTCTCTCTCAAGACGCATTAAAGCTTTTCTGCAGAAGGATCCTAAGTGTGCCGCATCGTTCTTGCTGGCGAGACGGTAGCGCGGGACACATAAACAGTGATAATATCTTTTCACTTACGTTACCTGAAATTTTCTCTTCATCTACTGAAAAATATGAATAATTTTAGAAACTGACAACCAGGTGTTCAAATACCTGAGCCTATGGAGAATAGTCGCATCTCATTCAAACCATCACAGTACATAGAGAGCTGCATTATATACAGTATAACAAAATAGATATAAGATGAAATTCGGGTGTTTGAATACTTGATCTCCAGCTTGTGGCATGGTTTGTGTAGGTTTAGGAGATGCAGCTTTGGAGGAAGCATGTCACTGGGGTTGGCCTTTGGTGTTTAAAAGCCATGAATTATTACCAGTTCTCTGTTCTTTGTTTTCTGTTTAAGATGTGAGGTCTCAGCTTCTGCTCCAATCACCATGCCTGCCTACTGCCATCCTTTCCCCCTCCATGACAGTGAAGGACTCCTATGGAGGAGACCAGACGATTGTGAGCAAATCTGAGATCTTCAATAATTTGTTATTTACACTGTTGGGAGTTTGGTTTTCCTCTGATCTGATTGTCACTGTGCCCTGGTTCTTCCCTCTCAAAGTAAGAAAGTGCTTGACCTAATTTTAATGTTATAGGATCCCACAATTTAGAGGCTTTGAACTTTAAAATTTCCTGGATGCCTAGACCATTTCTGGGCCATTTCTCCATGACCTCTGCGTCAACCCCTGCATTGTTTGAGTTTCTATCCTGACTTCTTTGATGATGAACAGTGATGTGGAAGTATAAAGCAGAGAAACCCTTTCGTCCCCACATTGCTTTGGTCATGATGTCTCCTCACAGCAATGGTTACCCTAACTAAGGTCAATGTGCTGTTTCCTAACAGCAAAGAACAGTACTAGAAGGGACAAATGGTGTATGGATTTTTTTACACTACCCATGCCCTGGTTAGCACATAACTAGGCTACTTTTGAACTAGTTATATATTTTCCTAATTTAGAATCCATGGCAATGAACTTTTAAACAGATAAAAATAGCCCAAATGAATACTAAAAATAAAAACCTCTGAAAATTGTAGTTCCTATGATCAGAGCAAATAAATCAGTAGCAAATGATTCAAAATCACTTCAAATGTAATTAATGAAATTGTCTAATCTGGACAACAAAATTATAAGTCAATACAAATGACGTCGGCCTCTGATGCCCATGACCGTGAAGCCTGGCTGCATGCCAATCATCTCAGCGTCCAGTGACTGAGTGTATCAGATAGGATTAGCTGGGTATCTGTACTCGTCAAGTCTCAACCTGCCCAGGCATCTGTGGAACCCTGGCTGGTTGTCTGAGACCAGGCTGCTCTAGGCTGAGCTCCACCACACATGGGACGTGAGCCCAGAGACCGTGTGGCTGACACACTCATGTGTCTCCAGTTCACATACAGCTTGTTTGTGGGGGTCACTGGACAGATGTCAACTCAGAACTCCTGCCCCTCACATTCTGCTAGGTAAATCGAGTCAGAAGACCACCCTAGGTGCAAGTGTGGGCAACCTGATGTTTTGTCTTTAGGGAAGGAGAATCAAAGTCACTTTACAGTCAGCGTGGATCCACTGGAGCATGAGGGCCATACTTGTGGCCATATCCTAAAAGAGAGAGAGAGACAGAGAGAGAGACAGAGACAGAGAGAGAGAGAGAGAGAGAGATTGTCCCTGGGCATCTGTCCACTGCCGCTAACTGCTTGGTAAAGGGTGGAAATCTTCCACCCCAGCTGTGCAGTAACCAGAGCTGCTGGGAGTTCATGAGTGAAGTAGCCACGCCGTGCGTGGAGGGCAGCTTTCACCCTGTCACTGACTCCACACTGAGCCTTATTCTCAGCACTCTGGTCAGCAAGGCGTCTGTCTGCTGGGCTGTTCACTGCACAAGAGCTTCCCTGACCCAGGCCAAGAGTAGCCCAGGTCTATGAGCATAAACATGTTTAGGAGACATTCGACAGCACAACCGCTAGAAAAGTAGCAATAACTGGGACAGGACAAAGAAGAAGGGCTGGGGTTTTCTACATTCCTGAGTGCTGAATTCACAGCTGCAACTTTGAAA